TCCTGGGATCGAGCCCTAAGTCGGGCTCCCTGCTCAGGGGGGAACCTGCTTCTCCTTCTCCTCCCTGCTCGTGCTCTCTCTTGCTATCTCTCTCAAATGGATGAGTAAAATCTTTAAAAATAAATAAAGTAACAGAGTTTATATTCAGGTGGCACAAACTGGGATGGCTCTATCAATTGTCTATGACCAGGGGCACCTGGCTGGCTCAGTCAGTGGAACATGTGACTTGTGACCTCAGGGTTGCAAGTGCATGCCCCACGTTGGGAGTAAAGATTACTTAAAAAAAAAAAAAAAATTGTGACCAATGTCCATGCTGATTAGTCTGTGCCCATATTGTCAAGGTTATAAAAACCTTTACCATCATCTCTGGTGGTGATGCTTTAACTATAGTCCTTCTATCTCTCCTGCTTTCTGAAGTTATGAAAGCTCTCCTAAAAACAAACTGGCAGACCTTCTGAAGGCCTTATTCCACATTCTATCTTGTATTGGTGTTGAGTGTTTTCTCTCTTCTACTAAACTGCAAAGTTCTTTTAACACAAAGCCTATTCCAAATACTGTATCTTATAATTCCTGTCTTCCCTCCCTTCCCTCATGGTTCCTGGCACTGTGGTTTGCAATGGTAGGAATATCATAAATATTTCTTTTTTTTTTTTTAAGATTTTATTTATTTATTTGACAGAGAGAGAGACAGCAAGAGAGGGAACACAAGCAGGGGGAGTGGGAGAGGGAGAAGCAGGCTTCCCGCTGAGCAGGGAGCCCGATGTGGGGCTCGATCCCAGGACTCTGGGATCATGACCTGAGCCGAAGGCAGACGCCTAACGACTGAGCCACCCAGGCGCCCCAAGACTGGTTCATTTTGAGTTAAGTTTTGTACAAGTTGTGAGGTAAGGATCCAGCTTCATTCTTTTGCCGGGGAGTCTGCTTCTCCCTCTGACCCTCTTCCCTCTCGTGCTCTCTATCTCTCATTCTCCCTCTCAAATAAATAAAATCTTAAAAAAAAAACAACAAACATTTGGAAGAGTTCATCAGCAAAACTACATGGGCATGGAGGGAGATTCAATCACAGATTGAATACATTTAACAGATGTGGGGCACCTGGCGGGCTCAGTCAGTGGAGCATGCAACTCTTGATCTCGGGATTGTGAGTTTGAGCCCCACACTGGGTGTAGAGAATACTTAAAAATAAAATCTTAAAAAAAAGTTTAATAGATGTGGTATTTGTTCAGGCTTTCTACTCTTGTGTTGGTTTGGTAAATTGTCTTTTCTTCTAGGAATCTGTTCATTTTATCTAAAGTTTCAGTTAATTGGCACAAACTTGTTCTTAACATTCTTTTTTTTAAGATTATTTATTTATTTATTTATTTGAGAGAGTGAGTGAGTGAGTGAGAGAGAGAGAGCATGAACAGGGGGGAGGGCCAGAGAGAGAGGGAGAATTAGAGTCCCTGCTGGGCAGGGAGCCCTATGTGGGGCTTGATCCCTGGACTCCGGGATCATGAACTGAGCTGAAGGCAGTTGCTTAACCTACTGAGCAACCCAGGCGCCCCCTAACACTCTTTTATGTTCTTTTTCATAGGATTTTTAGTGACATACTCATGTTCTTTCCTGACATTGGTGAATTTATGAAGTCTCTCTTTTTTTTCTCCTCTTGGTCAGTCTTGCTAGAGGTTTATTAATATTTTTTCCAAAGGACACATTTTAACTTTGATTAATTCCTCTATTATATATTTGTTTTTCTTATTTTATTAGTACCCATTTAGCTGTATTTTTTTTCTACTTTCAATGTGCTGTCCTTTTTTTTTTTTTAAAGATTTTATTTTATTTATTTGACAGAGAGAAAGACACAGCAAGAGAGGGAACACAAGCAGGGGGAGTGGGAGAGGGAGAAGCAGGCTCCCCGCTGAGCAGGGAGCCCAATGTAGGGCTCAATCCCAGCACCCCGGGATCATGACCCTAGCCGAAGGCAGATGCCCAACAACTGAGCCACCAGGGCACCCCTAAATAAATAAATTCTTTTAAAAAAAAGCCTACAGATTATTTGATTCCATTCATAGGAAAATCCAGACTAGGGCAATCTATGGAGACAGAAAGTAGATTACTCATTGCTTAGGGCTGGGGAGGTGGAAATGGGAGACATAGGATAGCTAAAGGGTGTGGGGTGTCTTTTTGGGGTGATGAAATGTAATTCATTATTGTAATGGTTGCACAATCCCTGTGGCTAAACTAAAAACCATTGGGTTGTACACTTAAAATGGGTGAGTTATATGGATATACCACATTTGTCTATCCATTCACAGTTGATGGATATTTGGGTCATTTCTACCTTTTGGTAATTATGAATAATGCTGCTATAAACATTCATATATAATTTATTGTATGAACATATATTTTCATTTCTCTTGTGTATATATCTAGGAGTGGAATTGCTGGCTTGTATGTTAACTCAATTGTTAATTGTTTGAGGAACTGCCAGATTGTTTCCCAAGACGGCTGTACCATTTTACATTCCCACCAGCAGTGTATGAGGGTTTTGATTTCTCCACATCTGCTCAACCCTTGTTATTTTCTGCCATTTTAAAATTATTACTATTACATCCAACCTAATGGATATGAAGTGGTCTCTCATTATGGTTTTGATTTGCATTTCTCTGATGAGTAATGATGTTTAGTGTCTTTTCATGTGTTTATTAGCTATTTGCATATCTCTCTCGAAGAAATGTCTGTTCAGATCCTTTTCCATTTTTAAATTGTGTTGTCTTTTTATTACTAAGTTGTAAGAGTTCTTTCTATATATTCTAATATAATTCCTTTATCAGATATATGATTTGCAAATACTTTCTCCCATTCTGTGAGCTGTCTTTTCATTTCTTGATGGTGTCCTTTGAAATATGAAAGTTTTTAATTTTGAAGAAGTTAAATTACTTTTTTTAAATTACTACTTTTTCTTTTGTTGCTTATGTTTTTGATGTCATATCTAAGAATCATTCGCCAAAATCAAGGTCGCGAAGATTTACGCCTATGCATTCTTCTAAGAGTTTTATAGTTTAAGACTGATTCATTTTTTTATTTTATTTTATTTATTTATTTACTTATTTTAAATATTTATTTATTTGACAGAGAGAGACACAGCGAGAGAGGGAAGACAAGCAAGGGGAGTGGGAGAGGGAGAAGCAAGCTTCCCGCGGAGCAGGGAGCCCGATGCGGGGCTCGATCCCAGGACCCTGGGATCATGACCTGAGCCGAAGGCAGACGCTTAACGACTGAGCCACCCAGGTGCCCCGGAATATCATAAATATTTCTGAATGAAAGTCTTGCATAAGCAACCACTACCTAGGTACTCAGTCCATACTTACCTGAACCTACGAATCATCTGAGGAACTTGCAGCCCCAAGCTACTACACCTACTGAATCTGAATTTGGCAGCAACTTGGGGATATATCTGGGAATCCCAATTTCTAATAAACATCCACCCTATTATTTTATCAAACAAGTTTGGGAAATGTGGCCTTTATCACCCAAGATGTTACTCTTTGTTCTATCACCTGCCACACATCACCCAGTTACTGAAAAACTGCAATACGAGGCTTTCATCTATATGTCTCACAGACATGCTTTACTTAAAACTTAAGGAAATGCTGTCTTTTTGGTTTTTGTGTGTATCAATATATAATACCTTTGAAAATTAAAAGGTCTTATTGTGCCCAAATCCTCATCCCTCCCAACCACTGCACCTAAATCCAGTGTCATTTATCTCCATTGATACTAAAGTATGACTCCCCACCTCCAACCTTTTAATGATGGTGAGTACATCCTCCACATCATTTTAAAAAAATATCTGGAGTGTCATTTTTTAGTCTTTTTAACTCATGACACAGGTTTGCTGAATTCATGGCTGACTCATAAACAGCACAGCTGGTATTAATATCAAATCAGAGACCCTCCAGCCCAAATCCCAGCAGTTACCACATTGCAGAGCCCCCTCCTGAGAGAACTACACCATTTCTGAATAGTCAATGATAGGAGAGTGAAGCTTTCGTGGTAAGGCCAATCACAGTTTCTATTCCCTCTCAGTCCAAATCCAGTGTCCTTTTACTTCCCCAAATTACAATAACAGGTCACCACCACCTCTGGTCACAGAGCAAGTTTTGGTTAACGCTGACGAAATTAACCCTGCCGGAAAAACAAAAATCACCGTGCGTCTCTCAAACCCTCGCTCTTTGAAATGACACCAAGCAGCCAACTCTGAGTCATAGCTACCAGCATTTTAAACCATTTTCCAGGAGTCCAAATGCTCCCAAGCTATTTCTGAATAATAAATGCCCTCATGGAGTCCATGCATATGAGAGAGAGGTCAGGGTCCTGGCTCTGCTATTAACTAGCTGGGTAAAACTAAGCAGGTCCCTCTCGCACTCAAGGCCTCAATTTCGCCAATTCGAAAAACAGCTGGATTTAGATGATCCCTCAGATCTCTTCCAATTCTAAGAACCTAAGAGGTGGGAGGCAGTCCCCAGCATAACCAAGACCCTAATTCCTTATAGACTATTTGAGATTACCGAATCCAACCTCTTGATTCAAAGACCAAGAATCCGAAACGAAACCCCCGACTTCCAGTCCAAAGCTCTTTCCACATCTTATTGCCCTTCCAGGAACACAAACCCCGAAAGGGGCGTCCAGCCCAGCCTCGACTCTAGTGGAGGACACGCAGCCTATTTCATCTGTTCTGCTTGGGATTTTTGTTGTTCTTGTTGTTTGGTCCCTTCTGCACTTCCACCTAGCTGGAAAGGGCAAAGCGAGAGCGCTTAGGCCAGACCCTAAATAAATCCGGACCTCTCTACGCGCCGGCAGTCACACCTGCTCCCGAGCTCTACGTGAAGGTGGATGGCTCAGTCTTTACACGACCCCTCCTTAGGAAGCCCGCAAAAGAGAAACGATTTCTCCCTCCCAGCACTCCGGCTCTGCCCAGGCCGCCTCCCACCCCGAGACAGCCTCCCCAGACGGTATACCTGCTCCGCCAAGGCTCGATCCCGCGCAGCAACCTCAGGCACTTCCGCCCCACGGACGCCGCCATCTTGTCTCCTCCTTCTTGGTGGGCCACGCCCCCTTTCCATACTTGTGGCGCATGCGTGTAACGTTACGAGCGTAGCGCTCACAAGACCAATGAGGAACGCGGTGGGCTGTGGGCGGAGACGGCTAAGCTCCTCCCTATGGCTGCTCCCCGCCCCATCAGCCCAGCGCTTTGGGCACCTCCAGAGCCAGGTTGGATAGCTTCCTGCTGTGCTAAATCGGGGCCTCGGTGCAATGTCGCCGGTCCTCTTTCTTCCCACTGTCGTACGTTTCCTCATGCGCCTGGAAAATGAGTCACCCAAGAGCTGAGAATGTATCAGCTTAGCCAATTTCCTTATTTACATATGGAGAAGCTAAGAGCATCCACCCTCGGCTACCATTTATTCCGCGCTTCCTAAGTTCCAGGCTCTGTTCTGCGCACTTTGCGTGCACGGTGTCTCGTTCTTACTTTCCCAAACGGGAGAAATACAGCTCCATTTTTTCCTCCCCGAGTCTGCTAATCACAGTTGTCTTCACCAGACATTTGACACAAGAGGATATATTGCCTGGTGCCCGCAATTATTTCTGTGTGGTTATTTAAGCTCGACTAGTGCACAATCAGCCCCTCCAGGGAGCCTAACAGGCATCAGGTTTCCTGTTGGAGGTAAGACACCTCCTTCTGTAGGCCTTTAAAATATGAGAGGGAAAATAAAAAGTATAGAATTGGTTTTACTATTCAAGTGAGACTAATAACTCAAAAGGGGAGGGGCGGGGTTATTTCAAAATAAAGTGCATTTGGGAAAACTGAAATATCCACATGCAAAAGAATGAAGTGGACCCTTAACTTATACCATATACAAAAAGTAACTCAAAATGAATCAAAGACCTAAACCTAAGAACTAAAACTATAAAACTTTTTTTTATTTGAGAGAGAGCAAGAGAGAGCGCGAGAGGGAAGGAGAGGCGGAGGAAGAGGGAGAAGCGGACTCCCTGCTAAGCAGGGAGGTGGGGAGTGGGGCTCTAGGGTCATGACCTGAGCCCAAGGTAGACGCTTAACCGACTGAGCCACCTGAGAGCCCCAAACTATAAACCTCTTAAAAGAAAATATAAGAGAAACCTTCATGACTTTGGACTCGACGATAATTTTTTGAGTATAACACCAAAACGCAGGCAACAACAAAATAGTATCAATTGAATCTAATCAAAATTAAAACTTTTGTGTACCAAAGGACACTATCAAGAAAACTCAAAGGTAACCCACAGAAAGTGAGAAAATATTTATAAGTCCTATGTCTGATAAGCATCTAATATCCAGAATAAAGAACTTCTAAAACTCAATGATAAAAAACAAACAACCCCATTAAAAAATGAACAAAAAATGAGCAGTCATTTCTCCAAAAAAATCATACAAATGGCTAATAAGATGCTCAACATCACTAGTCATTAGGGAAATGCACATCAAAACCACAATGAGATACCAACTTCACATCTGCACATATTAGAATGATTATACATTTTTTTAAATGGAAAATAACAAGTGTTGGTAAGTAAGGATGTGGAAAACCTAGAATCCTTGTGCATTGCTGGTGTCAAGGTAAAATGGTACAGCCACTATAAAAAACAATTTAGTAATTCCTCAAAAAGTTAAACACAGAACTATCGTATGATCCAGCAATTTCACTACTACGTATATACCCAAAAGAACTTAAAGCAGGGACTCAGATACTTGTACACCAATGTTTATAGCAACAGTATTCACAATAGCCAGAAAGCGGATTTATAGATGAATGGATAAACAAAATGTGATCTATCCATATAATGGAATATTATTCAGCGATAAAAAGGGGTGAAGTATCAATACATGCTACAACACGTATTAACTTTAAAAACATTATGGTAAGTAAATTAGCCAGACACAAAAGGACAAATATTGTATGATGCCACATGAAGTACCTAGAATGGCAAATTTATAGACAGAAAGTGGAATAGAGGTTACCAGAAGCTGGGAGGAGGGGAGATTGGGGAGTTGATGGGTACAAAGTTTCTGTTCGGGATGATGAAAAAGTTCTAGAAAGTGGCAATTGTTGTCTAACATTGTGAATATACTTGATGTCACTGAAGTGTACACCTAAAAATGTTATGTATACTTTATCACAATTAAAAAAAAAAGTCAGTTGAGGGGCACCTGGGTGGCTCCATTGGTTGGGCATCTGCCTTTCACTCAGGTTATGATCTCAGGGTCCTGGGATCAAGCCCTGAGTCTGGCTCCCTGCTCAGCGAGGAGTCCGCTTCTCCCTCTTCCTTTGCCTCCCCAACTTCCCCACTGCTCATGTTCTCTCAAATAAATAAATACAATCTTAAAAATAAATAAATAGATAATAAAAAGTCAATTGATAACAAATGTTGGGAAGAATATATATGGAGAAATCACAACCTTCATACTCCGCTGGTGGGAATGTGAAAAGATGCAGTCTCTTTGGAAAACAATCTGGCAATCTCTCAACAATTAACCATAAAGTTACCACCAGATGTCCCAGCACTTTCACTTGTAGGAATATACCCAAGAGAAATGAAAATACATGTCCACACAAAAACCTGTACACAAATGTTCATAGCAGCATTGTTCATAAAATCCAAAAGGTAGAAACAGCACAAATGTCCATCAAATGACATAGATATGGAATGGATAAGCAAAATATGGTGCATCCATACAATGAAATATTATTTGGCAATTAAAAGAAATGAAGTGCTGATAGATGTTACAACATGGTTGAACCTTGAAAACATTAAGCTTAAAAAAAAATTATGCTAAGTGAAAGAAGCCAATTACAAAAGTCCACATATTAGGGGTGCCTAGTTGGCTCAGTCTGTTAAGTGGGGTTGGGTCATGATCTCAGGGGTTCTGGGATCGAGCCCTGCATCAGGCTCCCTGCTTCGTGGGGAGTCTGCTTCTCCTTCCCCCTCTGCCCCTTCCCCTGCTCGTGCTCTCTCTGTCTCTCTCTCAAATAAATAAATAAAATCTTAAAAAAAAAAAAAGTCTAGGGGCACCTGGGTGGCTCAGTCGGATAAGCATCTGCCTTCAGCTCGCGTCATGATCCCAGGGTCCCAGGATTGAGCCCTGTGTCAGGCTCCCTGCTCAGTGGGGAGCCTGCTTCTCCCTCTCCCTCTGCCCCTCCCCCTGCCTGTGCTCTCTCTCAAATAAATAAATACTTTTTTTTAAAGATTTTATTTTATTTATTTGACAGAGAGAAAGACACAGCAAGAGAGGGAACACAAGCAGGGGGAGTGGGAGAGGGAGAAGCAGGCTCCCCGCTGAGCAGGGAGCCCAATGTAGGGCTCAATCCCAGCACCCCGGGATCATGACCCTAGCCGAAGGCAGATGCCCAACAACTGAGCCACCAGGGCACCCCTAAATAAATAAATTCTTTTAAAAAAAAGCCTACAGATTATTTGATTCCATTCATAGGAAAATCCAGACTAGGGCAATCTATGGAGACAGAAAGTAGATTACTCATTGCTTAGGGCTGGGGAGGTGGAAATGGGAGACATAGGATAGCTAAAGGGTGTGGGGTGTCTTTTTGGGGTGATGAAATGTAATTCATTATTGTAATGGTTGCACAATCCCTGTGGCTAAACTAAAAACCATTGGGTTGTACACTTAAAATGGGTGAGTTATATGGATATACCACATTTGTCTATCCATTCACAGTTGATGGATATTTGGGTCATTTCTACCTTTTGGTAATTATGAATAATGCTGCTATAAACATTCATATATAATTTATTGTATGAACATATATTTTCATTTCTCTTGTGTATATATCTAGGAGTGGAATTGCTGGCTTGTATGTTAACTCAATTGTTAATTGTTTGAGGAACTGCCAGATTGTTTCCCAAGACGGCTGTACCATTTTACATTCCCACCAGCAGTGTATGAGGGTTTTGATTTCTCCACATCTGCTCAACCCTTGTTATTTTCTGCCATTTTAAAATTATTACTATTACATCCAACCTAATGGATATGAAGTGGTCTCTCATTATGGTTTTGATTTGCATTTCTCTGATGAGTAATGATGTTTAGTGTCTTTTCATGTGTTTATTAGCTATTTGCATATCTCTCTCGAAGAAATGTCTGTTCAGATCCTTTTCCATTTTTAAATTGTGTTGTCTTTTTATTACTAAGTTGTAAGAGTTCTTTCTATATATTCTAATATAATTCCTTTATCAGATATATGATTTGCAAATACTTTCTCCCATTCTGTGAGCTGTCTTTTCATTTCTTGATGGTGTCCTTTGAAATATGAAAGTTTTTAATTTTGAAGAAGTTAAATTACTTTTTTTAAATTACTACTTTTTCTTTTGTTGCTTATGTTTTTGATGTCATATCTAAGAATCATTCGCCAAAATCAAGGTCGCGAAGATTTACGCCTATGCATTCTTCTAAGAGTTTTATAGTTTAAGACTGATTCATTTTTTTATTTTATTTTATTTATTTATTTA